TCATATAATGTAATTGCTCAGAGGATGTAATAGTTTTAATTATGATTATTTACCGCTTTCATTTACCTTTCTGCAATTTACTTTTCAAGGGTTTGTTTTTGGCGATGTAAATACCCGGCCGGCGCCTTGTAATAGCTTAGTTTTTATTTTCCGCAATTATTAACTGCTAGATGTATGAATAATATGCTATGGATGACCAGATCTATCCTAACTTAAAATCAACCGTAGCTCACCATAACATGTACAAAGATAACATAACTGAAAATTGACACATTTGCACATGTCACTCCTAGGGTACGCCTCACTTGGTTGCCTCGAACGTGGTCATTGAGTATAGGAAGTTTTAGAGGTCGTCCTCCTGTCTAAAGATCAAAGTTGCCTCGAAACGGTTGCCTCGATAAAAAATGATCTAAGACATTAGGGTTACCGCTAAGGCGTCCTAACATTGCTTTAGTGACCACATGTCCCTTAATCGAATTGACCCGAAAACTCCAACGACAGTGCTACTTACTCCTTAATAGTGGGATAGCAATGTCTAAAGGACATTTACACAACTTAATTCCTTTTGAGTAGGTAGAGGTTCTTGGGTACTTGCTCTTTCAAAACAAAACAAATTTTTCGCACTTACATTTTTCAAACAAAGTTTTCAAAAACACTTCATACACTCTTGAGGACAGAAAGAAGAGTTAAATCGAAGTTTTCAAACGAATTTTTTTTTCAAAACCCACAAACACAAGAAAAGCAAAACTTTTGAAAACATAGTGAGCAAGTACCTAAGAGTCTGTGGATAACCACGGATAGAAAGGGTGCTAATACCTTCCCTTTCTATAATCTACCTCCCGAACCCGAGAAACATCTCGAAAAGGAATTTTTCTGTGCTTTTGTCCTGTCCTTGTTGGATAAAATAAAAGACGGTGGCGACTCTTGCTTACCGCGACATTTTGCGAAACGCAAACGCGAACCAGCATTCCAAAACAGTCAGTTCTATTCCCACCGATCACACCCAGTTATTATCACTAGGACAGGTTGAGCCAACTAAACTTCAAGAGGGTACTTACCTACAAACTCCATGCAAGCCTAAACCTAAGGATTTGTCTGTTTTGTATGAATATGATTATTTGTACTTGCTTACTTTGCATACTTGTACATAACATCATACCATAACATTTTCAATAACCGTTTCAAGGATCTCAAGGGCCTATGATGCAGGGTCATGTAGAACCAGACGTCTATCAAAGGGCAGGTGGATTTATTTTCCTCTAACCAAACACCGTCAAAGATCAGAACACAACAACTTGAGTCGAGGGATATGACCCACTTGACATGGTGAGCTTAATTCTCGTGGAAGAACATTCACTGATACGAAGTTCTCCAATCAATGTTGTAAGTGACTACTAACATTTACCCCGCGAGATCCTTGAAAACATGCATCCACATATCATGCATCATATCATGACATGTTTCTTCCATACAGATCTCCTTATCTTCCTACTGTTTATTTCAGTAAGATGGATATGGAACAAACAGTGAAAGATCTCCAAGCTCAAAATGCTCAATTCCAACAAATGTTCATGACTTTGGCTAAGGGGCAAGAGGACCTGAAGACTCTTCTTTTCAAAGACAAGAAGAAAAAGTCCAAAAAATCAGTAAGCATCCTGAACTTGAAAAGAAGACTCTAAGGACCATTCAAGAAAGACTCTTATTTATTATTTATTATTTTTATTATTACATTTGTAAATCTATTGTTACTTGAATATAAAATGATAATAAAGAAAAACGGATATTTGTACAGCCCCCATTATTGACTCTAAAGAGAGTATGGACATCATAATTCTATAGCAAACTATTTTAACAATAAGCTACTACCGATAAGGCACGCATTTTGATTAGAGTATCAAGTTAAGAGGCTATATAGATGGAAAACAACAAACATTTAAAGTGATTATCATTGTAAACCACACAAGAGAATTCATTGCTTGTTTGTTTCTGGTTATAACACTGCTTCAAAGAGGAATCGGTGATAAACTAGCGAAAAATTGCTCAAAAAAAGAAACTAGCGAAAAAGCAAAAGATGGATACGGAAGGAGAAGAGAAAGCACTGAAACTCTACTTCATACCTTACTTAGCACCTGGTCATATGATCCCTCTATGCGATATAGCTACTCTCTTTGCTTCACGCCGTCAACATGTCACCATCATAACCACTCCCTCCAACGCTCAAATCCTTAGTAAATCCATCCCTTTAAACCAACACCTCCGTCTTCACACCGTTCCGTTTCCTTCCCGGGAAGTTGGCCTCCCCGACGGCGTTGAAAGCCTCTCCTCCGCCACTAACCCTGATAACCTCGTTAAAATCTACCAAGCCACCACTCTTCTCCGACCACCCATCCAACACTTTGTGGAGAAGCACCCACCTGATTGTATCGTGGCGGATTTCTTGTTTCCGTGGGTTGATGAGCTTGCAAACAAACTTCAAATTCCTAGGCTCGCTTTCAACGGTTTCTCGCTCTTTGCTATTTGTGCCATTGAATCCGTTAAAGCGCACTCTCTTTATGAATCTTCTTCTTATGTAATTCCTGACCTTCCTCATTTAATCTCCATGAATGCACCACCGCCCAAGAGAATAAGTGAACTGTTGGAAGCGCTTTTGGAAACGGTGTTCAAAAGTAATGGACTTATTGTTAACAGTTTCGCTGAACTTGACGGTGAAGAGTACATAAAACACTACGAGGAAACCACTGGTCACAAAGCTTGGCATCTTGGTCCGGCTTCTCTTATTCGTAGAACCGTTCAAGAGAAATCAGAGAGGGGAGAACGGAGCGTCGTGAGCATGCATGAGTGCTTGAGTTGGCTCGATTCAAAGCGAGTTAACTCGGTGTTGTATATATGTTTCGGAAGCCTGTGTCATTTTGAAGACAAACAGCTTTACGAAATTTCGTGTGCTGTAGAAGCATCGGGTCACGAATTTGTATGGGTTGTTCCTGAGAAGAAAGGGAAGGAAGATGAAAGCGGAGAAGAGAAAGAAAAGTGGTTGCCGAAGGGATTTGAAGAGAGAAACATTGAGAAGAATAAAGGTTTGATTATTAGGGGTTGGGCTCCACAGGTTATGATTCTGAGCCACCCTGCTCTGGGTGCGTTTATGACGCATTGCGGATGGAACTCCACCGTGGAAGCTGTCGGTGCGGGGGTTCCGATGATAACATGGCCGGTGCATGGTGAGCAATTCTACAATGAGAAGTTGATAACGCAGGTGCGGGGGATTGGGGTGGAGGTGGGTGCAGGGGAATGGAGCGTGATGGGGTTTGGGGAGAGAGAAAAGATTGTGAGTAGAGAGAGTATTGAGAAGGCTGTGAGGAGGTTAATGGATGGTGGTGATGAAGCTCAGAAAATCAGACGGAGTGCTCTAGAGTTTGGGGATAAGGCTAAACTGGCCGTTCAGGAAGGTGGTTCATCTCACATGAATTTAACGGTTTTGATTGATGAACTTATACGACTGAGGGACCGCAAGCTTCTAGAGTAAAACTCATTTTATTGTTTTTATTTTTATTTTTTTAATAATCATCTCTAGTTCTAAATTTAGGATCTTGATATTGTCCATTACTAATAAATGTTTTCTCAATCATATATACATGCGTTAGACTTATGAGTTATGTAGGCTCGTTCAGGGGCGGAGCCACTGCTGTGGGGTGCTGATGAACCCCCCTGAACTTTAGAAATTTCTACTCACTATTCTTGTTTACTACTGTTTTGCACACCCTGAAATTATCATCTTTGCACCTCTAATTTTTTATTGCTTCTGATCTAATTTTTTTTTTTTTGTTAATTGTTGGAAAAGTCTGCAATATCTCTGTATTAGAATTTTAGAATGATTCAAATGTAATATGAAAGTTTCTGGAATCGTTTTATTGAAAACAGTTTATTAAAAAAATACTTTTAGAAATCTGAAAATTGATTTTTTTGAAGAGCAAAATCGATTATTCAGTTTGAGAAAATCGATTTCCACAGCTCAATTCAGTTCTGGATTTTAGTTTTTAGTTAAGGAAATTGATTACCTCATTTTAGAAAATTGATTTCTTCCCCGTGTTTTTATTTTTTAGACTGTTTTTGAGATTGTGTTGGTTCCAAGTGTGTTTTGTATCCCATTTAAATATCCCTCTTGTAACATTGTGATTAATAATGCCATTTACTCTATTTTTTTCTCAAATATTGCTCTCTCTTTAATTCTCTCTAATTTCACTTCATCTTCTCCATCTAACCACATTTCTAATTCAATTAACTACATTTTCACCATAGATTCACCTTCAAGTTTTAGCCTTGTTCTAACATTTGGCATCAAGAGTTCTGGTTCTGATCCTATTTCACTGCAAACATGTCTGTTTTCAACGATAAAATTCCTACGAACCTTTCAATTCTTGATTCGAAGAACTATGACAAGTAGTGCAAGCAAATGAATGTTTTGTTTGGGTATCTAGACGTTCTTGATATGATCATTGATGGCATTACACCACTTGTTGCAGAGGTTACAACTGCACAACAAGAAAAATTCAAGGAAGACAAGATGAAAAACTACAAAACTCTCTTCTTGATTCATTTTTGGATCGATATTGACAATTTTGAGAAAATTAGCGATTGTGATTCGGCGAAGAAGGCCTTGAGAAAGCTTATGCACAGCTAACAAGACGAAGGTGGTGAGGTTATAAACTCACAAGCAACAGTTCAAGTTAATTCAAATGGAAGACAAGGAAACGATCAACGATTTTGTGACATGTGTTACGCGTTTGGTGAATCAAATGAAGTTGTGTGGTGAAACCGTTAAAGAGTAAAATGTTGTGTCGAATATCTTACGTTCTTTAACGTCAAGATTCAACAATATTATAGTTGCGATTGGAAAATCGAAAGATCTCGAGACGATGACAAAAGATGAGCTTCAAAGCTCTTTATAAGCTTATGAACAAAGGATGAATGAAAAGGAAAGTGACAAGGTTAAAGCGGAGGTTTCTTTACAAATGCATTTGAACGAGAACAGCAAAAGATTGAAAGAGAAGTAGTTTTATAAAGGGAAGAAGAATTTCTAAAATTTTGATGAAAAACATCGACAAAATTCGAAGACTTGGATGGAGCAAAGACCTGAGAGCAGCTCCAAAAAAAGTGGTCAAAGCAACTACAACAAACCATTCAACAAAAGCAAGGTAAAGTGTTACAATTATCAAAAGTTTAGTCATTTCACAAGAAATTACAAAGCAAAACCAAGAGAGAATCATGGTAGGGAAATTAAAGTCGCTAGGCAAGACGTGGATGACGGAAACACACTTCTTGTGATAATTACGGAAGAGAATTATGGTATTAAAGAGGTACTGAACAGCAGCAATAACAGTTGCAAGTTGCTGACAGCAGCCAGGGACGGAGCTATGCACAGGAAAGTGTGGACTCATACCCCCAATAACTTCTAAATAATACATACATGTTATATTATATCACTCATGTTATTTTAGTTCCATGCATTTTTAATTTTATGTGAATTGGTTTCTTGTACTAAGTATATCAGTTTTTTAATTAGTTGTGATTTTTTAAGTTAATTACACGATTAACTTTTTAAAACTATTCTCCAGAACATATATAATCATTTTTATACCATACTATCTATTCACAATGTCAACAATATATACTATATATTATATATACTTTATCTAATAATATCATATAAATAATTAATTTAAAAATTATTTCATATATCTAATATTATTTACATATTTTAGTTTTTAAAATTGTTTTATAGAAGATTCTTTGAAATATATATATATATATATATATATATATATATATATATATATATATATATATATATATATATATATATATATATATATATATATATATATATATATATATATATATATAGTTTTGGCTATGTCTCTGACAGCAGCTACTGTAGTGTAGAAAAAGTTGCAGAAACGCGCTCGGAGAAAAACGTAATGGTAATTATTCGAGATGAAGTCCAGTGATGAGTGGTACTTGGATTCAGGTTGTTCGACGTATATGACAGATATGAAAGATTGGTTCGTAAAGATCAATCAAGCCATGCGAAGTAGAGTGAAATTCGTGGGTGACACTACTTTAGCAGTCGATGATGTCAGTGATGTTTTTATCATGAAAATGGATGGTGGGCATTTTTTGATCAAAGATGTGTTGTACATTTCAGGAATTAAATATAATCTCTTAAGTATTGGCCAATTGCTTGAGAAGAATTACACGATTCAGATGAAAAACAAAATTTTGCGCGTTTTAGACCGAAACGGTGCTTTAATCCTTAAAGCTCTTATGACTGTCAATAGAACTTTCAAGATTGAGTTGAAAGTGATGGAGCATAGTGTTGTTGCGGTATATAGCGGCAAGCAAAAAGTAAAGTATTATTTTACTGGGTGATATTTAGGTTATATCGTATCGTGGCCACAGAGATTGATTATTGATTCGTCGTTCGACAAATCATTCGTTAATGAGTTTGGGGGTTGAATGGTATAGTATGTAAAGTGATGAAATTAAAAGTTATACACAAGAAGAATTTCATCATTCGAATAGGATAGAACTCTCGAATTTGTATTTCGTCTACCCTATCAAATACTTAAACTTACTACCTAGTTGTACTTAACCTTAACTACTCGTCAATATCATCATGTATCACTTACACAAAAGTCATTTCTAATGCAAAGCGAGATATCAATCATGTCGCTCCATGTCGACGATCTCTCAGCACAACACAAAACAACACGGAGGCATTAAGAGTCGATACCTAAGTGATTACTGAGCCAAAATCTATCTCTAGAATCTAAGTCCAATAGATATTCATCCTAAATTTGAATTTAATCCGTCCATCTCTGCAACGACTCAAACCCAAACACTTAGCGAGCTAACAAGGATAAACATCAATAAAATTTTGTAAAGAAAGTTTCATACAACACCATGAGCAATATACATATAATCAAGGTAAAGTTACATACAAAATCTAACAAATAATGGTTACAAAGAGAGGAAGAGGAGAAAAAACCAGATTTTCCACGATGTCAAACACGATCCATCAAGCTCCCGACCCCAGATCATCCATTTGCAAGCCACAAATGTTGTTGTCTAAGCTCTAACTATTAAAAATGAAGGTGGTGGAATTTGGGAACAAATACCCCAAAAACCATCCACCCAAAAATGAAATGAAAAGGAAATATAAAGAAATGTTGTTCCACAAGAATCGTCTGACGACATAACGCATTGCTCGACGACGTCTCTTATTCACTTGGCCCAAGATAAGCCATGTCCTCAGCAGGTCAAAAATATCCTCCATCGCCCGACGACAGAAAGCTTCGCACGGTGATACCTTTATTATGCGCCTGGCGACGTAGCAACAAAGCAAGGCAGGAGGCAACAACAAAAATGACTCTTCAAAATTTTCCCGGCGATTGGTCTTTTTCGCCCGACGATCTATGACAGTCCAACAACTTCTGTTGGTTTCTTGCATAACTTCCTCTGGCTCCAATTTTTCACCTTATTCTTTTATTGATCCAAAAATGCATGTTGGAGCTTTATTCCTCTTACTCCAACAATGCTCAAATACTTACAAGATGGATACAAAACTATCAAACGATACACTTTATACAAGAAAACGCATTATACACAAACTAAACATATTTATATATAAAGTTGGGTTATTCAACTGATATTAACAACCAAGAGTCGATAAGTGCAACAAAAAAGTATATACAAAAATAACTACAATTTGCACTTATCACATAGGTGCTTGGCTACAACGAAAATTCGTGAAGAGTGGTTGTGGCACTACCGTCTTTGGCACTTTAATTTTTGAGATCTCGACGCGTTACAAAAGCATGGTATAGTAATTGGGTTGCCAAGAATTAATGTTCCAGCTGAGATTTGTGAAGAGTGTATGCAAGGGAAGCAACACAATAATAGTTTCAACAAGGATGCAGGTCATAGTACCAAGCATCATCTTGAGGTGGTGTACTCCAACATATGCGGGCCAATGCAAGTCAACTCGTATGGTAGTAATTATTTTGTCACTTTTATCGATGATTTTAGTAGGAAGCTATGGATTTATCTCATTAATAGGAATGATGAGGTGTTTGATGTGTTCAAACGTTTCAAATCCATGGTTGAGCGACAAAGCGGTCATAAACTTAAAATTCTCAAAACTGATGGTGGAGGTGAATTTACCTCGGATGAATTTGGGAATTATTATGATAATGAGTGTATAGTGCACGAGGTTGTACCACCCTATATGCCACAGTAAAATGGTATTATTGAGAGGAAAAAATAAGACGATTATGAACATGGTGCGTAGCATGTTGAAAGGAAAAAAAATTTCGAAAGAACTTTCGGAAAAGTTATTGCTACAACAGCTTATTTGTTGAATAGGTGCTATACAAAGAAACTGGACAAGGTGACTCCATAGGAGGTATGGTCGGATTCAAACCGAGTTTGATTCATTTGAAAGTTTTTGGTTCAGTAGTGTTTCGACACATTCCGGGACAGCTTTGAAAGAAGCTAGATGACAAGGGTGAAATAATGTTACTTGTTGGTTATCATCCTACCGAAGGATACAAATTGTTTGATGTGAGTAGCAAGAAGATTATGATAAGTCGAGATGTGATCATGAACGAACTGTGGCAGTCTGACAGCAGGAAAAAGACCATGACAGTTGGGGAAATTGATTTCCTAGATGAGGGTAATCAATTTCCATCGCGATTTTTGCATAATGAAGCTGGCGGAACTGGTTTTTCGGAAGAGGAAATTGATTCCCCACTTTCTGGAAATTGATTTCCACATGAAAATGCATAAAACCAGAATTTTACAGGTACAGTTCAGTAGCCGATCGAAGTCAATAATGCGGAAAACACTAGGTGACTGAATAGGCGAAGAGGTTTGCCACAAATACTCTGAGATTGTGAGGTATTTAGGGACAATGAGATCAATGATGATGGTGATCTTATTCGCTTTGCGCTAATGGCCGAATCTGAACCGGTGAATACAGATGAGACATTAAGAAATCCAAAGTGGGTGTGTGTGATGAAAGAGGAACTGGAATTAATTGAGAAAAACAATACTTGTGAGTTGGTTGATTTACCGAAAGATAAAAATCTAATTATTGTGAAATGGGTCTATTAAGTGAAGGCAAAGTCGAAAGGCGAGATAATCAAGCATAAGGCTCGATTAGTAGTGGAAGGATTTTTGCAAAAAGAAGATATAGATTATGATGAGGTATTCGCACCAGTTGCAAGACATGAAACCATTTGGTTAATCATTGCTATTGCGAATGATAATGGCCGGAACATCTACCAAATGGACGTAAAATCAGTGTTTTGGAATGGTCCTCTTGAGAAGGAGGTTTATGTTGGACAACCACTGGTTTTGTTGTGCAAAATCAAGAAGGAAGGGTTTACAAATTGAGGAAAGCACTTTATGGTTTGAAACAAACTCCAAGAGCTTGGAACAAACACATAAATGGTTTTCTGGTAGATGTAGGTTTCAAGAAATAAGTATCTGAACACGGTGTTTATGTGAAGTTGGATGCTCATGAAGGTGTAATCTTTCACAACTCAATTTTTTATTTAAAAAAATCAATTTTTCATATTTCTATTAAACATTTTAAAGATTTTTCTTTCTCTCCTCCATTTTTGTAGATATAACATTTAAAAATTCTAACTTAGTGTAGAATATGTGGCGCTACTTCATTAAAAATATTCAAATATTAAAAAAAATATATTTTATTTTTTTGAATTTTAATTAATAATAGTTTTTAAAATTAAATATTCTTAATAACTTTATTAATTTATTATTATACATTTAATTAGAAATTAATTTATTATAAATTTTAAAAGAAGGGTTTTCAATGAGCAATCCAATCTCAAGATTAAATTGTTCAGTGTTTAGGACTTATAAACACTTATCTTTCTTGTTGAAAATTCTATGTGGGGCTTACATTACACATGCAATAACCACAAATCTCTTCTTCTCTCTATATTCATATTCAATTATAAGTAGATACTCAAACCTTCAACTTCTTGGTACAACTATCTCAATGTTTTCTTCTTCAGTTGCCCAATAACCGCGCCCATTGACTTCCAAGAATGTACGCACAAGCTTCCTAAAGGAATTAGGATTTGTGCTCATAAGCTTCTTTAACATTTCCTCATCTTGAATGAATGTCGTGTTGGTTTCTTCATACACCCAGTTGTTAACTTGTCTAGAAGTTGCACTCCATCCAACTGCAATTCTTCATCATCATCATCATCATCATCATCATCATCATCATCATCATCATCATCATCATCATCATCATCATCATCATCATCATCATCATCATCATCATCATCATCAGGTGCAGCAAAATCCATTCTTAACTCATCACATTTCATTGGAATTGACATGTTTCTGCTTTAAGAATAAAACTATTTCC